TTATATTTTTCAATATCTATTACTGCACATCATATCAGGATTTTAAATTGTGGCTACCATTTTATCAGTTGGCATGTCTGCCATGTATATTACTGATCCTAGGAAATTAAAAAGTACAGCCTTTGGGTGGCCCTCAGTTGTATAATCATGAAAACTGGTTGAGTGGCTCAAAAACTGAAATGGGCAGAGGGAATACAGACAGCATGACGATCTTTCCCTCTGAGGAAGAAATGTAGGCTAAAAATGTTATTTGTCAGAATCATCATCTCATATGCCTTACTTCTTTTCTCCAGTGTGAGTAATCTTGTGCCGTACAAGTTCTCTCTGTCGGAGAAACCGCTGGCCACACTCTGTACATTCAAATGGCTTCATTCCTAGGTGTTGCTTCTTGTGATCTGCAAAATCTTTCTGGTACCTGGGAACATTGATTGCTGTGACTCAAGACTCAGGGGTTAAGTGACTGAATTTAATTTTAAATGCAAACAAAAGCTATGAGAAGTATGTAAGATGTCTTCCTTCTTATAAATGCTTCCATATGTGTAGGACACCTAAACAAATTGATAACTGTGTTATTTACTGATCAATTTCTCTGCAGAATTTCTATCAGTATGCATTCCTACCTGAAAGCTGTCGAGCATTCATATTTTATTCGTTAACAACACTGTTAGTAGCTTGGACTGTGTGGCATCAAATGATCGGATGATTAGTGAATAATGAATTGGGAAAGATGTAGAAGTAAAGGTTCATGGCAAGCGGCCTCCATAGTCTAGGGGTAACGTTCCCACCTCACGACTCAAGGTACATGGGTTCAAACCTGGCGGAGGTCATGGAATTTTTAAGGGCGGAAAAATTCAGGGAACAAGTCTTCTGGGAGGGACTTTAAGCCGTGGGTCCTGTGTCATAAATTTACGGCACGTAAAAGATCCTCATGTCTCTAGGAGACCTCTGAGCTAAATTAGGCAAATTTCCCGCCCAAGTAGTTTCCAATGCCTCCAGTAGATGGGGATTCATTGGGTACGACAGCCAGCCTCGCTGGCTGAATGGGGCTAATAGTGAGCACCAGTACTGGCAGGGTATGGTGACTGGTAGAATATTAAAGGGGGACGTACAATAGACTATTAGTCACAGTGCATGGGGAAACCCACCCCCTCCAATAATAATAATAATAATAATAAAGGTTCATGGCATATCATAACTGGTATTCAGGCTGAGATTTGATCCCAGGACATTCTAAATAGGAAGCAGAATTTCTATCCAGTGGATTGCAACATTTAGTCAGAGGTTCATGTCATACCACTTTTGTGAAAAGGATTGATGTTACAAGGACATGTAGCATGTAGTGGAGAATCATGCATAGAGCATTCCTGTTAAGAAACTTCATGGCAAGAGAGATCAGGCACTATAAAAGTAGGAAAATATTGTAATGGGTGGTTGGTGAATCAAGGTGTGAAAATCTGTGGCACCTCAGGACAGGGTGTAATAAACACACTGATGAAAACTTGGGGTAATGTAAAAGTAAGAAATGTCTTGACCATCTGAATGGCTGTTAGTTGCTAAACAGACTGTACCATGTAGGATAGAGCCACCATACCTCATCTGCTTGCCACATTCTGTACACGTGTATGGGCGCTCTCCAGTGTGTGTACGCATGTGCACTTTCAGGTTGTGTTTCTCCGAGAAATGTTTGCCACACTGAGCACAGCCAAAGGGTCGTTCTCCTGTAAATAGTTTACATCGCTAAATTATCTGAAGTAAATAACTGAGAACCGAACATGGAATCTGCAGTAATACTTCATTTAGTAGTTTGGTAGTTTGCGGTACCTTTTAAAATGTCACTGGCAGCACAAAATGAGTACAGTTGCTAAAACAAAGGGGAGGTACCATGTAGTACATAAAATTAACTCTTAAAATGTCAACATTTAAATAAGAACATAAATCTTCCTGTTTCATTAAGCACAGGCATACGCGGGGGGGGTTGTACATATCTTTCCAATGCTGGCTCCACCTGTTGAGATGGTGACGAGCCGCTACTGCATACTCACTGCACTAAGGCCATTTATAGGTCATCAGAATGAGTCATGACTCATACCCATATGTGTCTTGAGGTGCCGTTCCAGTCTTGCACTGTTGAAGAATTTTTTGCCACACTGTTTGCAGGTGTACTCTGCTCCAACTGGATGTTTCTCTGTTGCTCTGTAAGTAAAAGTGCTCATACTGTTAGCTTCTGCCAGTAATTTTACAACAGGCATATGCAAGTCTAATTTTCAAGCTCAAATTGAGAAAAAATTATCTCAGACTTGATTTCAATGTTGCTATTCAATTTCAAATTTTGAAAATTTTCATATAAATGGTTTTGCTTTGCACAGTAGCACCAGGCTACCTGATCCATCAGAACCGCAATGATTGCTACCTCCAACATGACTCAAGTTGTCAACAAAATGTCTCTCCCCCCATTCTTCTGCCCATGGAGGAAAAAGGACATGACCATAGAAATTGAATTTTTTGAACATGTTTTATTAAGGATCTGATAACAAAAATTGATAAGTAGTGCACTTTAATGCATTGTGATTACAGTGTAGAAAGTTTACTAGAAGAGAAAATTCTCATTCACATCTTGACTCTCAGAATGTTGTCAAATTCTCGTCTGAGTCTCAGCTCATTCTTGCATGTGCCCGTTTTACAAGTTTAACTTCAGAGGCAAACAGTGTAGTGTTCAATGAGATGTGAAAGTCTTATTATTTTGCTCTCACAGGCAGAGTGGAAGAATGTGACTGTGGTAAGGAAGCCCAACACTTCTCAGCCCTTTGAAGCATAGTGATAAATATAAGTACTATCTGCTTTATCATTAACAAACTGCATCTTGTTTTCACACTGTCATATGACAGTATTATTTGATTGGTCTTTGTAATGGAGATACCATGTTTTCTGTAAGGTGGGAACTGAATATTTAAATATTATTTAGATGAAATTCAGACTTCAGAGGGTTAAGAAGTAAGTATATTGGATAAAAGTAAAGTAAAGCTGTCCCTGTAACAGGCTGTGAAGGCCCATGGGGTTGTGAGACGTTGAGGGTGCCACACTATCTAAACAATTGACTCAAAGATGGCGGTAAGGTTGTCAGCCTTGCACGCCGGCCGCGCTTTACTGCCCAGGAAAATTATTTTTAATTAATTCCTGGTACTCATTTCTGTTAGAGGCTGAGTAAACCCCAGGGCCTAGTGTGGCTGGAAGGATTAGGTACTGAATTAAAATATCAGAATATGTACAACTATCATTTTACATGTTGTTTTGTATGGGCATGAAACTTTATCTGTAACTCAAAGAGATTTGGACTACAGAGGGATTAAGTAACTGGACGATGGAGAAAATTACATCTTGAGGAGGTTCATAAATTCTGTTCGGTTAAATAAGTCAATAAAAGTGAAACAGACAGGGCATGAGGCATGCATGGAGCAGAAATGCCTATAAAATGTTTGAAAAACTTTGAAAGAACAGATTTATTTGGACACTTTGGTTTAAATACCAATGATTTCCATACCTCAAACTACAGTGTTTAATGGCAGGATGATTACTGAATAATGAATTGGAAAGGACATGGAAAGAAGTGGTCACGGCCAACTTAAGGTGCTAGCCTGGCATTTGCTTGGAGGGAAACCATGAAAACCACACAAATCCTCAGTCAGGATTGGCAATCTCTGGGCTGAGATTTCTGTGTGGGGCCTCTAAATACAAAGCAGGAGTTCTATCCACTTGACTGCAACATTGAATACCTAAGTGTACATAGGATGCAGAAACAGTGTGAGATAATGTGAAGCGGGCCGAGACAGTTGAGGGCATGGCATAATGATAGGCTTCTGTGTGTCTGTTTGATTTACACAAAAGCAGGGAACTTCATGTGAACAGTTACCAACTGCAAAATGAAAACTCTGCATCATAAATTTAGGATTTGACATTTTCACGGTGGTGGTTAAGAAGAGTTTTATCATCTGGGATATAGTGCTATGCAGTCCACTGAAAGTCAAGTAACTATATGGCATTGTATCCCAGAGGAGAGAGCTCTTCTGGATCATGGAGTTTGTGTATTATGCAAATAATGGCAAAAGGTGAACTCACTTTGGTGATTCGTTATTTGACTTCCTGATTACGGTCTTCTCCACAGGATTTGCCTCTAGGATCAATTTGCTGTTATCCATGGCTTTATTCATTGAATTCAGCTTCGGTTTAGCAACTTCAGGAACAGAATCTGGTAACAGAACTTTTCCTGGGTTTATTAAAACTTCTGCAGGGGTTTGCAGGGACATACTAGGGCCAGACAGCAAGTTCTTTGGAGTTATAATTCCAGAAGACTGAGACAGAGTTGTCAGCACTGATGGCTGGAGTGTGAACATGGGGGCAGAGTTCAGCAGGATGTTCTGATTGGTGAATGTTAGAGGCAATGTTTGTATTGCTGGTCGTGGCTGTAAAACAATGTTCCGTAGAAGTAAGTTCATTGGTGGACATAACAGTCCCATGTCTGTTGACGTGGCAGGGCCTTGGCTCAGATTCGTGACAGTGGTATCTGTATTTGATACGTCTGTAGAGGTTTTTGTGACTACACTTGGTATTAGTTCAGGAGGCACCTTGTGCTGTTCATCCATGTGCCTTGTCAGAACATCTCTTTCAAAGAAGTCCATGAAACATATCCCACACCGATATAAAGTCAGCATCTCCTCAGGTGTGCTACTTTCTGAAACTGTGCATTTCTTACAAATGATCTTTATGCTGTCCGATCCCACTTTACTCAGTGTGTCTTCACAAAATGGCTTATGACACTGGCTACATGTTTGCATTTTTATGATGCTCTTGAACTGGGATGACACATCTCCAACTACTGGCATGGAACTCCCTGCTTTTACTTCTTGTACTTCTTGCTGCTCCTCCAGACTTCCAAGTTGCATCTTAGTGCTGAATGAAGATTTACCAGGCTGTGGGGGTTTATTAGCAGCTCCAAGATCCATCTTCCTTGAACATGCCACATCAGTAATACTGTCAGTGTCTGGACTTATATACTGATTTGCCTTGTCTGACGATATATTCTCTTTGTCATTTAAACGTTTTGACTGAACTGGCTCCTTGTGACTGACCTTTGTGGGCCGAATTGCAAGGTCCTCTGGTGTGATATGTCTTGCTACCAGACCCTTCTTACCTATCATCTCTGTTACATCTTCAAGTTTGCTCTTCTCCTCAGCCACAAGTTTGTTTATCCTTTCTGCATGTGGATGTGACTCAGGGATTTTATCGATAGGTGGCAGAACATAAATCTGGAAAAAAGAAAAAAAGCTTCAAATCATCACACTTCTCATTCAAGATCATCTCAATTTTTTGTGGTACAATGAAAATGAAGAGACATCAGTTTACACAGTCAGTAAGGTACTATGCAACCAGCTCACACCAGGAAGTGAGAATATAGGACTGTAGATGGAGACTTTTATGAGTGCTGTCTGGAGTCTCCATTTCCCAGAACAGTCTCTTCAAGGCTTCAGTACTAATACCATGGTTCAGGATATTTCTTGAACAATAATTGTTCAAGAAATTTCCTTCTGCTATCGAATGCAAAATTCATCACCAACATGCAGTCAATCACTGGACTCATTCTGAATCGGACACTGCCTTAATCACACCATTTCTGTAGGGCCCATTCTTAATGTCATCCTTCCACCTATGCCTGGTCTCACAAAGTGACTTCTTTCAGAAGCTTTCTGACAAACATTTTATATACATTTCTTATTTCCCCTATGCATACTACATATCATGCCTCTTTCTTCCTTTATCTGATGATACAGTGGTATGTAGAGAGCATATATTAAGAACTTCCTCATATAGTTCTCAGACATTCTTCTTTTGTTTCTCAAAAAGATGAACCAAAAAATCCTTCAAAGTGTGAGGACTTCTGTGACAATTCATAATAACATGTGTATAAAACCTGTAGTTTTTATAATGACTGAACAAAATATTCTCTGGTCACCAGCTGCATCAATTACAAGAAGTCAAACATTATGGTGACCTTTCCCATCTCTGTCATCATTTTGTAATGACATGGTGACAGTAGTTCTCCAAAATGCTGGAATATTGCTCCAAATTGATGTGGCTGATAGCCTGAAAAGATTCCAGCAGTTCATAGCATGCTGTATTTGTATGACAACAAGCTGTTTGCTTTATGCCCTATACTCAAGCCAAAGAACACTCCTTGCTGAGTATCTGTAGAGGCTTACACACTATTTTGATAAGTTTCATTTCGACAAATGAAACTGCACTATGGCCNATTTCCCTTTACTATGGTACACCCTGTGAAGATGGTCTTGTAAGACTGAAACTGTCGTGGTGTTAACAAGTAATCAACATAAGGTAATAAACCGTACTTAAATGGTAACGTATATCTTATTTTGAGCTTACACAGTATATCCGCAGCCACCCCTACATCTGTAGGCTGTCTACATTATCCCCAGAGCAGATGCATCATGCTGTGCTGTCAAAGGGACTCACTCACACAACATACAAAACTGTAGCTACATATATGTATGTATATCTGGAGCTAGTTGTCTGACATCTGTTTTCCTATGAGCAACTTTACCTCGCTGACAGTTTTCTTGTCCACACATGAAATGACTGGCATATCCACTTGGTGTTTTGCCTTGAGATGCCTTCGCAAGTCTTGGTTCTGTCCATAGCGGGCACCACAGAGCCCACATATGAAGCGACGCAAACCACGGTGGATGCGCAAGAAATGGCGCAGCAAGTTCCCTCGATTATTGAAAATCATCGGACAGCTGGCACAGGGGTGATTCACTGTGCCAGGACCACAATGCACAGTGCTGATATGCTTCTTGAGGGCCTGCACATGAGAGGCAGAGGTACTGTCCTGGTATTTGCATAAGTTGTGTCATAACAATAGCAATAGTAGTGTTAACAATCTAAAGCTATACAATATACAAGTAGGCTATTCCTACCACATTTGTAATGATACATGCTGTTAATTGTCAAACAGTGATATTCACCCAGTTAATTTTAACATGGAGAGACAGGAAGGAAAGTGAAAAGGAACTGTGATATATATGTGAAAGGAATATGGGAGAAAGGAGGGAAGGATATAAAGGTAAGACTGGGACAGAGGAAAGGAATAAATGGGGTAAGGTAACTGCTGTAATGTAATGTAGAGTGAAAAAGAAGGGGGAAAGAAATAAAAAGGATGGACATCGACAGAAGGGGACACAAGTACTGAAGTACTAACAGGTTTCAAATTGAATTTTCAATGGGCATTCATTAGCAGTATTCATATTAATAAAAGTAAAGGAGTCAGTATAGCAACCGGCTACAGGCTGGATGACAGAGGGGTTGGGGTTCGAGTCCTTGTAGGGCCAAGAATTTATCTCTTCTCCATATTGTCCAGACCAGCTCTGGGGTCCCACCCAGCTCCTTAGCCAATGGGTAAGGGGTAAAGTGACTGGGCCATGAAGCTCACCTCCAGCTAGTGACGAGGTCAAAATTTGAATGTATACATTCAGTCCGCTATATGTCTTCAAGGTGAAGTGCCTAATTAGTTAAGTACAGGGACTTGACCTTAAAGTAAAAGTATGGCTGTCCCTATTTCTAAGGTCAATAACAAGAAAGTATACAGAAGCTATTCCAGTATCCATTAGGTAGGAGGCTGTGTGGACCCTACAACTATGTGGCAAAGACAGGAATCCATTCCCCTACTTGGAACTGAACCTCAGTCATTCAGCTTCTCATTCTAGAGACAAAGTTATGGTGTTTTCTAGTAAGAGCAGCATACAGTTTGGTACCTGGAGGCGTTTGAACCTCCCCTCACATTGAGTGCAGTTGAAGGGTCGCTCACCAGTATGGATTCTCATGTGTTCCCGCAGGCCCGACACACCCTGACAGGTCACTGAACACAGTGAGCATTTGAACCTGCAAACATTCATTTCGTATGACACAAGGAAGTGAGAGGGTGGAACAGGGTCACATTGTATCAAGTTATGAAACAGCATCTCACTTCTTTCCAAACACAGCATGGCTGTGGCCGTTTAGGTGCACTTTGAGTTGTCTGCGGCTGGAGAATGTTTTGCTGCAGATGTGACACTCATTGCAGGACTCATGCTCTGTGGCATGCCGTACCAGGAATTTGGGTCGCAGAAACACTTGGCTGCACACTGAACATCTGAGGCCACTCTTGTCCTTTCTGTGTAGCAGCATATGCCTGCAATAGACAAGTCAAACTGACTGATTGCTTTATTCACCTTGAAGGTAAAGTTTTTCCTGTGCATGATCCCTTGAAGACTTCTTCAAATGTCACTCTACCTGCCCTGCATTTAAATGAAAGCTGTCTCTGGTGTTGCAGTGATATTTTGACATATTTCGTCTGCAGAGATAAAATGTACTTGTTGGTCAAGGAAGACCACAGAAGACAATAATGTTGCCATCTGTTGATGTAAAGACAGAATACAGTGGAGTCCTGGTTATCTGATACCCAAGACTTTCGACTTCTCACCCAAACCCGCAACAATTTGAAAGAAAGTTCACAATTTTTGTAAAGTTATTCAAAAAACAAATGTGTGATGTGCATACATTCACCTGCGCTGTGATACTTCTCCCAGTAACCACTATTAGCACTGCCTGTTATCTTCCCTCATGCGGATGCTATCACAGTAGAGGCTAGTTGAATTTGTAATTGCATTACAGAATATGCATATGAAACCTTTCACCCATTAATCATATTTGTCACAACAAAACACTCCCATGCAAGAACTAAAGTGAAAAGATGTTTTCAGTTTGTATTGGGTTTCTACAAGATTTATCATGCAACTGGCACACCCTGTTCACTATTCATACTGAATAGCTGGGAGTTTACTGTACTAGCATAATACAAGTATAGACTTTAGAATGTCTGAGAAATATGGTACAGAGCAGCCAACTATGTCCCAGTGAACAGTGTCACTCAATAATGAATTAAGCTGCAGGTGCCGTCTGACAGCTACCATTATAACTAATATGTAGCAGAACTCATGTCAAAATGGATCTGGCTGTGCAGACATTTAAGACTCCAAATGTAGGAGACTTTCTGTACACACTTCACTACATCTTATAGGACCATTAACCCTCTAATGACTGAATTTATTGCAAATTATATATAAAAGATTCAGTCTGTACCTCACAGAGAACATATGATGTCTCTGCTACAGACCAACTGGTTAATGCCGTTTAGGAAGACAGTCGCTATTTATCATGAGAACAATATGGAACACACAAATATGCTCTGTGAGCAGGATGCAGAATTTTATTATGTTAAAGCAGGTGGTGCACAGAGTTACTGGGCTTTAAGGAGTTAACCAACGGGGTGCTTGTTGTGAGGCCTACATTTACCTGTCTCTAGAAGTCTTATGTTGGAATTTTCTTGAACAGACTGTACAGCTGTGTGGACGCTGGATAGTTTCAACCTGCAAGTGGACATAGTAATGGTGAGAGTGACAGGTATGTGATTATGACGGTCTGTCAGATTTACTTTCAATGTGCAGTTTGATATAAATTTTGTACCATCAACTGTCTACATGTCATCATTTGTTGGACCTGTCACAGAATGACAGGGGCTGTGTAATAAGGATTATGAATGTCTGAAGAGAAGATTCACTAACCTTGTGCACATGTTCCAAGTGGAAATTCTTCTTCCCTTTTGACAGGAAAGTCTTGTGACACACGTGACACTGTTGCTCAGTCTTTTTGACGAGGTACACCGTTTCATTAGACTTCACTTTGTCGACATGCGTGGCTATATGTCGCCATGTCTGGCTGACAGATCGGCTTCTCTTACCACAAACCAGGCATGTACAGCTACGTATATGATTGCTACGCCGATGCTCCACCAATTCGGTTGGTGACTGAACCTCCAGTCCACAGAGCTTGCACTCCAGTCCTCTCTTGTCTGCCAGTGACTCTGGTACCGACCCATCAGCTTCCAGTGTCTGGGAGACCGAACACAGGAGCCCTTCTACACAGTCAGTCACATCTGAAAATTTAGTCATGACCAGCACTTCTCAGTGGCACACAGTACAACAACTAACAAGCAGTCATTCAAGATGTGTTCTATTATTGTGGAGCACGAAAATTCATCACCACCACCACCACAAAAGCCCTTCAGTGAACCCTACGGAACCAGTTGAATCCACATAACATCTGGAGTTCTCATGGCAGTGAATACTGAGATCACAATCTCCTCGGATGTGATCCTGTGTAGTCTGGTTGATAGATACCAATCTGCCTGCTGTCTCCTCCTCCTATCCTGAAGATGGCAGTGATAGGTTCTTCCAGAAAATTTGTATACTTTATCTAAAACATCTGTGAGGGTACATCATACCCTGAATAGGCAACCTTATGGAAAAAAAAAAAGCCCCGTGATCAGTGACATCTCCAGTGTGGTGGTGGTGGTTCTCACTCCCAGTGTATAAAATAGAATCTAGAAATTTCTAATGACAATGTAACCATCTATGTCACTATCTGAAGAAAGTGTACACTGGGATGTTTATGACACACAAATACCTATCTACCTATATAAGATCTAAAAGTTTGTGACAATGGTATATTAACACAAACATTACATTTCTGGACATTATCCATCAACCTGTCTTTATTTAAAACACATTTTTGAGGCTGGATTCTGTCTCACTCATCAGATAAAACCACTCAGTTGGGCCCAATCAGTAGTGAGGAGGTTTTACCTGAAGATGGAGACAGAATTGTTGAGTTTTGAATAAAAACAGGATGATAAATACTGTCCTGAAACATAGTGTCTGCCTGTCTACCTGATTATATGATGCTACATGTCAGAAGACTTTAATCTGATGAGTTTTTGTGTATCCTGACCCCACCAAACCTTCCTGATGGAGATAAGAAAGGAAAGGGAATCATGAAGCCATGTTTCATTTATACCTTTATTGATGTCTGCTGCTGGATGATTTTCTGTGCTTGTTTTAAAGTAGACACCCAGCATGTCTTCCAACTGGGACTCCTCTTGGTCCAGCTCCTCAATTGCTGCCAAGAACTGATTCTTGCCCTGGACCCCATGATCCCTTACGTGCATTAACAATTCCAATTCGTTTGCAAACAATGTGTGACATATCAGACATTTTGAGCATCTGTGCCGATAGCGATGGATGTCAAGTGAAATGCTGTTCTGGAATCTTTTCCCACAATACGAACATTGATACGGCTTCACATCAACAAGGTGCTTGTCATAATGTTTCTGACAAAAGTATACTGATGCAAATTTTGTGGAGCAATACTGACAAGAATATATTTTGTCATGTTTGCGCTCATGTGCTTTCTGTTCCATCACTGTGTTAAATTCCATGAAGCATATTTTGCATATCATTTCTGGGTACTGAATTCCATGAACTGCTGATAGATGGCGCTTCAGCTGAGACTGGACCACATACTTCTTCCTGCATACAAAGCACTAAAAAAAAATTCAAAATTAGTAACATATATCTCGTGTGATGTTACTAAGCTTTAAAGTTTTCACAGGCTATTTGTAACTGCCAAAAAAAGTACACAACGCAAACCAGTACTTAATAATATATGAAGTTCACTGAGAAGAGTTCTTCAGAAACTGACAGTCACACAGCTGGTCAATAAATTCCCCATCTTTTTTTGAACCCCGAATCTTCGTTATCATGAAGATTACTCTGCAGTGTGACTCCGTGTAACTTTGTAGAGGGTTAAAAAACGTTTCATACAAACCTGCTGCCTCCATATTCCAAGTCTTTCACAGTCTTTTACCCTGAAGATGGAAGCAGCAGGTGCCTCTCAAATAAAGGTCACTGTTTATCACACTATATAGAAAGACAGCATTTTCACAGCCACTGCTACAAGACTCTCAAATCTCACTCGATCATAATCTGCCCCCAAGAGTCCTTCACAGCATTTTATCTTTAGGGGACTGCATAACATCCATACCCTCAGACTGTAGTTCTGTTTCTTACAAACCGAAAACTAACTTAACCTAAATTACAGCCGCAAAATTTGATCTGCATAAGATTATAATGGATCAGCCATTATTATTCTAATTTGTGATAATAGAAGGTACCAAATGAGGATAAGCTGGAAGCTCTACATTGTGCCTCATCATTCCTTTTGCACCCTGCAACAAGTCTGGTAACTTGTGGCTAAAATACATGATCATCTATGATATGTAAAAATATAACTATTGTCTCCCACTTTGTATCATAAATGTAATAGACAATATCCAAAGATATAAAATTTACTCTGTACTCCTGGCCAATATGTATGTTAACAATGGCTCTTGAAGCAGTGTGCAAGTATTGCAAGAGAGTCTTTGAATACAATTCAAATTCTCATTCAGTCTTCTCTTGATTATATGAGCAAACTTCTGTTTCTTAATTTAAGTGCTAGAGTTTTAGATATCATATATTGTGATACTGACAAGGAAAGAAACCTTGTCCAAGGCAAAGTACAGGTACTTCAGCTGATCATACAGAAATGTAGCTTTAGTCGGTTGAGATCTGCTTGCAGGAACATAACAGAAATTCTACAGTGACTGTTGCACTAACCTGTTCTAGCACCACCTGTTGTTGAGGATGCATCTCCTTAATGTGGTGTTCTACCTGTGTGGCCGACAGAAATTGCTTGTGGCATGTTTCACATTCATGTTCATCACTGTAATCTGGATCATCCAGAATTGTTTTGTACGTTGCTGCCAAAGATGGTTCAATGCTTTTGAGCTCTCGTTTCTGCCACATGCTTGTAATCAATGGTACCACTCTGTTTGCACCAGTGACACGACGAGATGCACCATGCTTCACCTTCACTACACTGGGCTTCTGTCTGATAATTTCAATGTGTGTTACTGGTCTAGCACTGATCATGTTCTGTTCAGAAGGAATGTTTACTGAATTCAACAACTGGTCACTGTTGCTCTCATCACCAGATTTATTATTTTCGATGGATTCTCTATTTTCCTCTTGCAGGCTTGGTTCTAATAATTCACTTCCCAGAACGATCGAATACAAACCTAAATTAGGTTGAACTTGCGTATTTTCCTGTGCCTGAGCACCTAGTGTGTCTTGTTGAGTCCTCAAAATTAATGTTGGTACTTCTTCGTTAAAGAAATTCGTTGGTAAGCCAGTGAGCAGAACAACACCAGACTGAACATTACAGCCTGGGTTGGCGATCATGTTATCTAGTCCTTTAACAGCTGTCATTGTCGGGAATTGTGTTCGTATATTATTTGCCTACACATTTGGAACCCCATCCAAATCTTTTCACGTACTTTTAACTATTCACTTGAAATATGGACATTTAAACATTAAATTTAATTGCACCATTACGTTCTCTTACAAAATACACACAGAGTAAATTAAAGTCACTGAGACTATAACTATGTTAATTGTAGGTTATATTGCACGCTTCTCCTTATCATTTGCTCACCGCCATTATGAATCAGAAAATAAACAAACGACTGTCGAACTGGTCGAAATTCTGTAGCCGCATTGAATGAGAAGCTTGTGCTATTAGTTGGAAGGCCGTCTCAAAGATGGCACGCTGTCGTCTTGTAGCAAATTCACTCACTTCCGTAATTTAAATGGGAGTTTCAGTCGAGGGTCCTAAAATCATACCTATCTCTCACGCACACCAAGGAAATTGACAACCGGAACGCAACAGCGATTTCAGAGAAAAATCGCTGATTTCAAGCAGGCAACTGGTTTCTAGATTAGCAGGAGCACACTGAGGAAACTTACAATCAATTAGTTTTTCACATCGTCTCAAGCGAGTGTATTTGCTCGTCAATTTCGTGCACTTCTCTTCTGCAATGTCAGATAATAATATTGTTCGATATGATCGTGGTTGAGACGGCCTAAGAGGTGAAGACAGGAGAAAAGGAAACATTGGGTGCATCCGTACTTTCGCGACAATTTAAACTCAGATGTTTATATTGTTTCAAAAGAATTTAATCAGGATACAGAACTGTTCAAATCATTTTACAGAATGAGCATTGAAAGTTTTTCTTTATTAGTGGATCTTGTAGGACCTCAAATTCGAGGACAAGATACAAATTCTCGTACAGCTGGGTCAGCAGAACTGTAGGCAAAATTATAGTTTTGTATATTATAATTTTTATGTTTTTGGACAGCAGGCGAAAAGACAAAAGTTTCTGGGATGAATGGTAGCAAGCATTACTCGAGTTCAAGCTCCTCTTAATTTCCTCCTGAATCAGGGTTTCGTTTGTTATCGCCTTTCCCAAATATCTGAACTGTGCCACATTTTCGAAACATCTGTTATCAATCTTTATGTCATGATTTTGCCCTACATTTTGGCGACGTGACAGTAACATACACGTATACTTAGTTTTCTCTGTGTTTACTTCTAGACCAACCTCTTTACTTGCGTCAATTAAAGTTTGTGTGTTTTTCTTTATGGTATCTACATTATCACCCAGTAGATTCAAATCAGCATAGACCAACAGCTGATGTGTCCCATTCAATTGCAGTCCCACCTGGTTTTCTTGGACCTTTCTAATGGCATATTCTGAAGCAAAGTTGAAAAGCAGTGGCGATAAAGCATCTCCTTGTCTTAGACCTTTCTGGATAGGAAATTTATTGAACTAGTGTTTGCCTATACAAACTTTACTATAAGTTTTGTTTAAACACATTTTAATCAGTTTAACTAGTTTCATGGGTATCCCAGACTCTATCAGAATATTGTACAATACTTCCCTCCTAACTGAATCATAGGTTTTCTTGAAGTCTATGAATAACTGATGTACACTTATTCTATTCCCATTTTCTCCTGATATCTGACGAATGAAAAGTGCTGATCAGTAGTTGATCTGTTACGTCGAAACCCACACTGATGATCCCCAATAATTTCATCTATGTATGGACATTGAGACAAGATTATTGGATAAAATTTTTGTATGAAGTTGAAAGCAGTGATATCCCCTGATAATTTCTACAGTTAAGTTTTATCAACCTTCTTGTGAACTGGTACAATAATAGACACAATTTTTCCTAATGCAAAATAAAATTAATTAGCTTGTGGATCTTAGAACGTAATATTTAGCATCCTGCTTGAGTTCTCCAGGAATTTGATCACTACCTGGCGATTTATACCTTTTCAATTTTGCAATAGCAATTTCAACCTCAAAAGGGCTAGGATCAGGTACTAACAGCTCAGCTGTACGTATTTCTATCTGCCTAACATCACTGACCCTATGTACATTCAATAACTGAGAGAAGTAGTTCTTCCATCTGTTCAAAATGTGAGCAGTAGCAACGTCAAATATTTATATGGTTCCAGCATTAACCGCATAGAATACATCGTTTCCATGGTTTTTCCGTTTCCACTATTGTTCCGTGTTGATTCATTGGTATGGTAACGTGTTAAATTGCCGTTGCCTATAAATGTACCAATAATTACAAATTGTTAGAGATTTCGTTACATATGTTATAAATTCTGTTACTTACGTAACAATAACAAATTCTGTTACTAACAGTTTCATTCCATTTGTACCCGCCTAAATTAACGTTTTTAACTTCAAAACCACAGAGGTTCTACGCTTCTTTCCCCCCCCCCCTCTTTTGACAACCTGTTTTCATCATTTGTGACGTGTCGTACGACACACGTAGAAGATGAGTTCAACACGTGGTAACGGCGGATGTTTTTTACTTTAGAGAAAATATTTACCTTACTAGCTTGTCAGTGCATTTTATATGGATTACTGAAATATTACAATCAGGTTTATGCCTTATACTTTCAATGCTACTTAGAACATAGAATTATATTTGGTGTAACATGTAGCACTATGTTTTTTGTCGGGTGATGCTGATTCGCTTCCGTTATGAGCAGCCACAAGAACGGACTTCCGTCATTTCTACGTCAACAATTGTTGGAATAGGTCGGAAGTTATTTGGCAAGCAATTTGCAATATCTGTGGGTTTTGGTGTGGTGTGACTGTTGTAATTTTTTTTTAGAACAATGGCACCGAAACAAAGAATGCGTATTGCCAACGAGAAAGCTAGTAAAAATGTCACTATGCGAGGAAATGTTCCAAAATCATCTGTAAGTATGCCAATCATATGGAGCACTGTGAACAGCTGTCAGTTCATATTGAGAAATGTTATTTTAGTTAATATAACTGTTAAAAATCCAGAAGACCTCGACGTGGTTAGGTAGTTGTATATCAGCATAAATTAAATATGTTTATTAGGGTGTAAATTCATGTATTCATAACATCATGTGTTCCTAAAGGATTTACTTAACCTCAAAAGTCGACATCGTGTCAAATCGTACCAGGTTGTGTGATTTTGATTAATCTGGACACAGGGAGCTTATATTTTTGTATTAAAGAGAAACATTTTTAAGCAGTAGAGAAAGTGAAATCAGACTCTGCATTTTATTGAATAAAGAATGTAGGTAATCGACGCATATGTTTGATTCAGAACGGGTGGATCACTGAGCATCCGTCATAGACATGCTTCACCTGTTTATGTGCGTATGCCACAACTAATTCATATTAATTGTGTTACAGAAACCGCAAGAGGATAAATATCCTGTTGGACCAGGGTTACTGGCTCTTTTCATATTTGTTGTCTGTGGTTCAGGTAAGGCAGTAATTTGTTTTCTGTTAACATGCTTTCAGTTGATCGAAAGGGAAATATTTCTGAAACAAACGGAAAGTTATTCATATAGAATCATAAGTTTTAATACAGTGTAACAATTTAACTGGGTGTGGTATTTGTGTGAGATCATACTCATCTTCTAATGTAAAGAGGCAAAATCAATCCGCTTATAACTGCTGATGAGCTCACAAAGAATCACAGATTTCTTTTGCATGTATTCTGAAGTAAAACTGCATAATGAGGAGCTTCATAACTTGTACTCTTCTCCAAGTATAATTAGAACGATCAAGTTGAGGATGAGGTGGGCAGGGCATGTAGCACAAATGGGGAAGGAAAGGAATGCATATAGGATATTGGAAGGAAAGCCAGAGACCACTGGGAAGATGAAGGCATAGGTGGGTGGACAATATTAAAAATGGATCTTGGAGAGAGAGGATGGGATGGTATAGATTGGATTGGTCTGGCTCAGGATAGGGACCAGTGGAGGGCTCTTGTGAACACAGTAATGAACTTTTGGGTTCCATAAAATGCTGGAAAATTTTTGAGTAGCTTCAGATTTGGCTTCTCATCAAGAAGGGCTCAGCTCCATAAGTAAGTATGTATTCTGTAGTGTCATTGGTCTCTTTCCATAAAGATCACTGATTATTGTAAAGGTAAATCAGTCTCAAGGCGTAAAGGAAATGTGATTGTGTAGTCATTGGCACTCATGTTTTTAAAAACACCCTGGTTTATATGCAGGTATGCCATGATTCTCTGCTTTCCTTCAGTTCATGCAGGCAGATCATACATTAAAGTCAAGCACAATGACTTCATTCCACATCCTCTGACTGTGACCATGATGAAGTTCCCCACTGTAATTTTTTCCATCCTTGTCACTTCCTCCTTTTAGGTTCAAATATTCTGCAAGCACCCTGTTCTCAAACATACTCAGTCTATATTCCATATATTTTGTATTTATACAAAGCAGAATATAAAATTATTAGTAACTAATTTTAATAGCCCTCACACAAACAATATACAATTAAACCCTCATTTAAGGTCTCTGTGTGGAGTTGTGTATTTGAACACCAAAGTGGGGGAAATCTGAAATTAAAGATAGATAGCACTGTGATTATTGACTTGGAATCAGGGAAATTGAACATTAAATTTAACTACAACTGTATATTGAGGAACATTAAGTGGTAGTTCTGCTGTGTATATGATATAATCTTAGTACTCGCAGTTTGTATTCTGAAGGTCCTTTTTCAAATCTTAGTCTGGAAACCATCAATCCTGGTTGATGTTTGGTTTTATTCAATCCCTGATAACATCTGAAATTAGGCCATATCCTCTTCTTTCCACAGCCTTTCCCAGTTCACAATTCACTACTCATTTTACCATTTGACAGTGTTCAGCCTGAATTACAAAATAAACCAAATGGAAATAAATAACCTGAGTATTTCTGGTTCAGTAGACCATTTTGGAATCTACTCTGCTTTCATGTATGTAATTACCAAACAGACTGACCAAATTAAAAACTGTAAATTGCATGAAAACTAATGAGACAATAATTAAGTTCGTGGCCTTCTGAGATGTGGTGCCATGTAATGTCTGCCCCAAATATAGTGGCAGCAGATTCCGTCAAAACAAAGGTAACATTACCAGACTCCGCCGAACCAGATCCCAGAAGGCGGTAACCTTGATAGGCACGTTGGTAAGAACCTCAGATATTGAAGCTGTGGGTTGTTTATTCCAAAGCTGTATTGTGGCATTTTCCGTGAGAGAGTAAGGGAATATCATGGCAGATCTCAGTAATGATAACCAATTATTGCACTGAGATTCGAACCATGAATATATTCAATGTAGATCTAATGTTAACTGCTCTGTATGAGT